CTTTTAAAAATTTTTGTTTTATTAATATCCAGTTCATATTTATTTTAAAATAGGTTTTAAATATTAATTTCTTTTTAATATGTCTTTTGAATATGTGTAACAATAAAATATAGAGTTATGTCTATTTTTGTAACTTTTTGTAACATCCCATTTACTTTAGATACTAGCTGTAGCCCGCGACTCCGTCCGCGCGGTAATAAAAAACCGTAGTAGGTTAAGTGTTCTTCTAGACTATGTTCTAAATCTATGCCAAATTTCAGCGAGATCCATACAGCGGTTTTTGAGATAAATTCAAACAAACATACATCAATGCAGTCGCATTTATAATATTAGTAAGACTAGCTATTGCCCGCGTCTATGTCCGCGCGGAGTTGAAAACTCAATAGGTAGCTTATGTATTCCTATAAATAATTGTTCATTCTGGAGATACCTTCTAAACATCCATCTAAACATTCGCATTTATAATATTAGTAAGATTAAGTAATAAATAAGATTTGAAACTAATTTTTTTTGAATTAGTTACATACAAAGCTGTTATTACTTATGTAGTGAGTATTGCGCGATGAATTTTGTTTATCATAACTTGTTTCGTTAAAGTCAAAGATAACCTTTAACTTAAAAACGAAATAAAAAAAGTTTTTCCAGATATTTTATAATAACATTATACATATTAGTACAATACAATAGTAAATGAGATAAAAAATAATATTTAATTAAACTGTATAATTTAGGAAGTAATATTATTATTATACTAGCTGTCGCCGCGCCTTTGTGTTCTTTCAGCCTATGTTCTACATCTATGCCAAATTTCATCGATATACCTACAGTCATTCTGGAGATACCTTCAAACAAACATCCATCCATCTATACATTCGCATTTATAATATTAATAAGATCTTAACAAAGAGTGACATTAACCTCTCGGTACTTTACCTACAGTCATATGCAGTTAAGGACATAAATTTCCTACACATGTACTATACCCAGATAAATTAAGCTAACAATGCGATTAAGTTGAAAACTTGTATAGCGATATACTTAAGGAATTATAGATCTTGTTGTTTGATCCTAATTGGGAAGGGAATTTAATTCTTTAACTGTGTACTAAATGCGTTGTGCTCAGAAAATGATGTCACTCGAATAACCTTCTTAGATCAGTTTTCCTCTTTCCTTATAAGCGAGATATGACTCTATGAATACGTCTTACAATCTTTTTATTTACAGAGGATAATTTGTTTTGTTTTAACTGTTAGGAAGAAAATCCGACACTGTGTCCGTGTACTGGCACAGCACTAGTCTTACTAAAATGTCGATGTTTATGTCCCCTCACTAATCATTCTGACACTTGACTTTGTAACGAAAGCAAGTCATTCGCCCCAAAAAATAGTTGGCAACCATAACAATAAAAAATAAAAAAAGTTACAATAGATTTTCATTGTTTTTAATTAAAAAAAATACATAAACATGCCAGTATGCAAACTTAGTAGTTTTAAGTTTTGATTAAAATAAATAAATAAAGGATGGAAGGTTATAAACATGTTTTACTAATATTTTCTAGGATACATTTCTGGATAATAAGCTGCGCCTTTACTAAAGTATTGCGCATTGGGATTGTTTGTAAAAACTTCGATTTCAAATTTATAACCTCTAAGAATTGACGGACTCTTCAAACCAATAGTGACACTCTTCTCTCCAACACCACCGCTCTCTATATAAGCTTCTCCATCCTTGTCATCCCTTAAATCAGTGACAAAGACAGCTGATATCACTTCGTTTAAAGGCGCGTTTATTATGACGTCATCAGTCCTCTTCCATAACGCGGGATCAGCTTGTTTAATCTCACTGTATATTTTCTTCGATTGTGATGAAGTGAATCCCAAACGAATATCGTTGCAGTTCGCATAGGAACTGACGTATACTAAGACGATAATTGCTTGACAAAGTTTCGCGTACATTTTGGTAGTACGAATTACGTAGCACTGATCTTACTAGAATAATTGTACTCACTTATATAATCTGGGAACAAACAAGTGTAGTGATATCATAGTGACCATTTAAAGATTCATGTTAATACGTTAAAAATATGATTGACGTATAAAGTTGTGTACACATAGAGCATGTTTTTTTAATGGCATGAAACGACCAGTAACAAAAATAATAATCTGTAAATTTAATAAAATTGGATTGTATGTGATATAAAAACATATTTCGCAAATGTAATTTATTGGCGATAACTATAACGAATAATCCATTTTTTTTTGTCCGTCTGTCCGTAAATTTACATTACAATATTATATCCGATACAGCTGTAACTTAGGATACTTTTTTCTATACAGCGCGGACTAAGTTACTGGAGCAAGTTACTGGCATTCGCTAGTAAAAAAATAATCTCCAGCTTCAAGAAAAGACTATGTAAAATCCATTTAATTATGACCTTGAGAAAATTTATTAAGGTTTTTTTCGACCAGAAACAGATTTACAATGTAGCAGCCTATCTATTTTTGGAACGACAGAATTAAAAAAAAATTAAATGATTATTTTATAATATTAAAATTCTCTCAAATTAAAACTATTCTGTTTTAATGATTCAATTGAAATAAATATGTATTTTCATGAACACAATAATGTACACTAAGCTTAATTTTCAATTATATATCGCCATCTAATTTTCTACAGAAATCACATCCCATATGAATGTTGAATCATCTCATAATACTTTGTAAAACAACTGACGCTACGTGTTAAAATTGATTAATTTTTTTTTATCTCGATCCTTCATCTATTTATATCACGTATAAAGAAGAAACTACGAAGTATATTTGGAAAATCTAATTTATATAAAAAAAAAATTTCGGTATAATTATAGTAAGAGGTGCTAATAGAACGGATATTCGAACACAAAATCCAAATAAGTTTACTTCCTTTAATTTGTATAGTCAAACAAACGGACAGAAAGATTTTTGAAATATATACATATATATCTTACTAATATTATAAATGTGAATGTTTAGATGGATGGATGTTTGTTTGAAGGTATCACCAGAACAGCTATACGAATCTCGATGAAATTTGGCATACATATAGAACATAGTCTGAAAAAACACATAGGCCATTTTTAATTCAGCGCAAACGGAGTCGCGGGCGACAGCTAGTATAAATTTATTACATCAACAAACTTTACTACACCCTTTATTACTCATTCACAGAAATGACATATTCACATAGAGCTGTTAATTGTAAAAATACACAAATACGTATAATACATGTTTTTTCTGCTCCATTTAGTTCCACACGGTAGTACGTAATGGTCGCTAAGATGAGAATTTTAATATTTGTCGTGTTATTATTATTATCTGTGACAAATTCCCATGATTTATTTCTGGGATATCCTGACGTGTCTTCGAAATTAATTTATAGTAAAATACATCAAGAAAATCCAGCGATATGGGTTCGTTCGGAAACCTTCACAGTGAACTGTTCAAGAAATGAAATTATCAATGCTATAAAAATAGTTGACTTGAGGGATGATAAATGGGGCGAATGTTATATAAAAGGGGGTGGGATTGGACAGAAATTTGTCAAAATTGAACTTGACAGTCCCAGTGTATTCCGCGGATACAACTTTTGGGTGGAAGTGTACGCTATTCAGACGAGCTATTTCATGTACAATCATGGTAAAAAGTGACTATGTAATTATTTTTATTTATTTTTACTTTGTTTATTAAATTTATTTTAAAATATTGTGCGTTTTATTACTGAAATCTGTTGATATTGAATAAATTGTTAGTCGCTATTATGTCTTAGGTCTTCATGACTTCAATTTCTTTATTTCGTTGTTATTTACCTTATCAGAAATCTCAGTATCTTTCTACGTCCCTTTTTGTCATTTTTACCATACATCGAAAGGGAAAAATCATAACCCTTATAGTTAACTTGTGTCGGAGGCCAAGACCCACTTTGGGTCGATGCGCCAGCGGAGTAAGTATAGTTAACTTTGTTTCCCGTCCGTCTGTCAAGACCCTTGCTTGGAAGCTACCCAATCTTGAAGGTATCAAGCTGGAATCTTTTTCTTTTAAAATGGTACAGGAATTGCGTGTAAATGGAAGTCGAATTGTCGGTCCGTAAAATGGACCTTAAGATTTATTATTATGTATAAAATGAATCTAAGCTCTGACCAAGGTCGTAATTAGAACGACAGAAAACCTGTGTAGTATCTCTTTTCTATACTATCTGGTACCCGTGAAATACCACGACCACACAGGAGACAGGCGTGAAGTGGAAGCAATTCCGCGTTTCGTCTGATGAGTGGGCGTCCCGGAGGCCTAATTTAGTCCTCTTTCCCTGCCCACCCTTTTTGTGCATCCTCTTCTCCGTCGATTAAAGGTAGGCAACGCATATGCAATTGCGTATGTCTATAGGCAACGATCACTTCGCTATTCAGCGATTTCTAGTGGCCGCCCGCTCGTTTGCCACCTTATCATAAAAAAAGCCTGTGTAGGATGTCTTACGTTTTCCGTGGAAATTCTAAATAATGTTTACGTTTTCAAAGGAAGTTTCTAGCATATACATATAGATGTATGTATTAATGAGTTTGTTTGTTTGTTCGTCACGACGTAACGCGTACGTCTTGTGACACGTCAAGATCGTGATGGATATAGGATGGTTCTTTTATACGATTGTTTGTATACGCTATCTGGGGATAAGTTTATGTAACAAATAATAAGAAATTAAATTAAAATAAAACGTCGAATTGCAACTGCACACGTCTGCGAAGAAAGAGATGTGGTGTGAATCTGTTAAACGAACTGTAAAGTTACAATTATATCTACACTTAAAGTCACTTTAATGGTCACTAAAGAAGACCCTTAGTGTAGGACTTATATGAGAAATCTACTCTTACTGCTAAAGTAATTGTTAAACATGGCCGTTAAAAAAAGAGTTCCAATGCTTGCTTCACTATAGCATAACACCATCCATTTAATATATAAAACAAAGGAACATTCATTAGCGCATCAGTGTGAAACTACCGAACGAAACGACAATGAGGCTGCTGACCATTTTAACACTCTTCTGTGTCCTGGCCGCCGGGTACACTCAAAGCCATGATCTTGTACTCGGTCAGGCGACATACGGTGATGTCATTATTTACAAAGTCAACGAATACAAGTATGGGTTCCCGTTCTTTGTGAGAACGAGTATACTGGAGTATCCTGAACCTGGACAGACAAATTTCGCGTATATCAAAGCTATTTTTATCAAGGATAACGATAGAGATGGGACTGGAGGATGGCCGACTGTGTCCGCTGGTGGTATTGGTCAGAGATTCGTGAAAATTAAATTGAAGAGCCAAAGAGGTTATGGTTTGAATTTTACTGTAACAATTTACGGAAGATATTAGTCTGATCGATTTGCCAAAGTTGTTTTGTTTTTAATAAATTTTATTGTTTGTTAATATTGTCTTTTTAATAAGATAAATGTGATTATAGTTTTAAAGTTTTAGTTGAAATGGTGAAACAATGGTGACGATCAAATATTATTCAGATCAAAGTGTTGTGCCAAATGTATTTTTTGTTGTTTTTATCTGTTGTTAAATATATTTTTTAAATATAGAAAGAAATTGTTTTTATACTAGAAAATAATTTAATAAGGCATTACAAAGAAGTAATGCCTTATTAAATTATATTTTAAGAAATAAATAAATGTTTTAGTTATAAATTACAATTAATAACTGAAAAAAAAAAAGTGGGTAGTTCTAAGTGTAAACATCTTATATTTTGCTCCGTCATAAAAGTTGCTTTTAAAAATATTTTTACGTTATATTAAATGATAAAAAGTAGTGTAATGTGATTAGTAATCCCGTGTGCACTATATTCAATAAAATTCTCCGCATATCATACATAAACTATGGATATCTACAATAAGTTGAGTGAGTCGATGAACAAATTAGAAACACTATTCCAGTCTCGTATGACTCAATATGAGACTGAACTGATGATGGCTGCTTCGGGTGACTCGCAGAGTGTTCACAAGACTATAGCTGGTCTGTCACGGGATTTCATGGAGTTCCGTCACCTCATCTGGCAAACGGTGAGCACGCTCAAGACCCAAATGGAGCTAGTGCTGCTGGGTCTGGACAGGCTCGAGACGGCGTCCCGTTCCAAAGTGTTGCTGTTCCATGGGATACCAGAGGAAGATAACGCGACGCAAGAATCGCTTATTTTAAATATTCTCAATACCAATATGAAACTTTCGACGGTCGCATCCGAGGAAATCGTAAAGTGTCATCGGTTAGGTGCAACTCGTAGTACCAGTAAGCCTCGCCCAGTTCTAGTTCGGTTTCAAAACAATCGGATTCGTAACCTTGTGTGGAGTAGCAAGACGTCACTTAAGGGTGCCAAGGTTACCCTATCAGAGTTCCTTACAAAGACGCGGCATGAGGTATTTATGCAAGCGAGAAAACATTTCGGAATCCGTCGTTCCTGGACCTCGGATGGTCGTATTGTCATCCTGCTACCAAATAAATCACGGTCCAAAATCGAGACAGAAGCTGAGCTAACGTCGCTGATGTCACAATTTCCAACACCTGAAGCTGAGTCGTCCGAGGAGACATCAAAGGCAACCACTCGTGGAAGCGAAGTGCCGAAGAAGACCGGTGTAGGATCAAAACGCCCCCCCAGATCAAAGTAATCATGTACATATATAATTTCTTTTTTTTTTTTTTTTTTTTGTGAGTTTAGGTTAATAGTTTTTCTTATCAATCTACGTTTTTAAATTGCTTTCCATGTGTTGTTTTATTAATCCTACTTAGATAATTTAAAAGTCTAATTTAAATTGTTTTCTATCAATTCATATTAGTTGTATAATATTTTTTTTCTGTCGTTCAAATGACGGTACATGTTACATTTCTTTGCGTCAGCAATCGTCGCATTCTTTGACTTTTATAAGACAGGACTTGTCAAATGCGCTCTTGTTCTTTAACCTAATTTAAACAACTGATTATTTACTAAACGGTTATCGGCCACTAATTTCTTAACTTGCAATTCTATTTATTTCTTAGTTTTGGTTTTTCTTTTGTTATGTTTGTTTTAGGCAGTATTCATTTACAAAGTTCTTTCTATTTTAAGTAAGCTTCATGTGAAATTGTAAACTTTTAAGTCAAATCTTCTCCTTCAATATGTGTCAGAATCTAAATAGTATAATGGCTGGCGCAGTAACTTATGCTTAGTCCATTGCTCTATAGTCAAAGATCGCAACACTGCGGCGGTTTGTTTACATATATTTTTTTTTTTTTACAGTACTGTTTATTACCGTTGGTAGGTTGCCACTCTGCACCATCGAGGTGCGTGTACTGAGATATGCATATTGCTATCTCTGTTTTACTTAAAAGAATGTGCGGGATGACGTTTGCGCCTGCTGTTGAGCGTTTGTTACGAAAACTTTTGATTGTAAAATATAAATTGCAATGCACTTTATCAAAATATGCATTCGTATTATAATAGTTCTATTTATTTAGTTATAATCTCTTGACTTTCAATTATGCAATGGTAAGCACCGTCTGCCTGAATTGTTTACTTATCTGTTTTTATTTTTCTACTAGATGTTAAAACGATACATTTGTGTTGTTCCTATTTGTTATGTTCTGTTCCTTATTAATAGTGCGTGGGTGTGTGTGTTTTTTTTTTTTATTTTTTATTCTTATTAACAGCTATATTATAACTGTAATGATGATTGTAAGTTAATTTTTTTAGAAAGACCATAGTTATGTTTCATAATTATCTGTTAGTGTACTTAGGGATTGTTTATTGCACTTAAGTTAACCAAATTTTATTTTATAATTATATTATATATATATATATTTATTAGTATTATACAATTTTAATTTTTTATAGCAATGGATTGCTTCAATGATAGTTTTTTCTCATGTTCCTCTAGCTCTTCTGACACAGTTTATGAAAGTGCTGGCAGCGATGTTGACTCACCGCTACGTGATCAGCTAGCAGCTCAATTTTCCACCAGCCGAGGGTTTTTAAATGTAGTGCACATTAATGTACAAAGTGTTCATGCACACTACCCTGATTTACTCGGCTCCTTTGACTCTGCTGTAGTCGATGTAATCCTTTTATCGGAGACTTTTTTAAAACCATCCCTGCCCTCAACCCAGTACGCACTCCCGGGCTATAAGCTTATTCGGAATGACAGAATCGGTAAAGGTTATGGTGGTGTTGGTGTATATCTGCGCGGCGACTTGCCGTTTACTATAGTGGACCAATCTCCGTCTGAATATTCTGGCTTTGCTGAACATTTATTCATAGAAGTCCTCTGTCATCACACTAAGATATTGTTGGGTGTGTATTACAGTCCCTCACTCCGTATTGACTACTTTAGTAGCCTCGAAATCAAATTAGAACAGCTGTGCCTCCTGTACGATGACATCATTATTCTTGGAGACTTTAATACTTGCTTGGTAAAGAGCGATGAACGCAGCCATAAGCTTCGTTCTCTTGTTAGCTCTGTGCATATGTCAATACTCCCCTTACAACCTACTCACAATGCTCCGAACTCCACCCCGTCCCTCCTAGATCTCATCCTAGTTTCAAACACAGATAAAGTCCTCACCCACGGTCAACTTTCTGCCTCTTTTTCATATCATGACCTGATTTATGTTTCTTATAAATTAAGAATACCCAAACCTAAAGCTAAATATATACTACTCCGTAGCTTTCAGAGTATTGACATAGATCGCTTAAAAAATGATGCCACTAATATTGACTGGGCTCCATTATTAAATTCCACGAACATTGATGAAAAGGTTACAATATTTAATGACTTAGTTACTGGTTTGTATGATAGGCATGCACCACTGAGAAAGGTAAGAGTTAGGCATAAACCTGCTCCTTGGCTTACCGAACAAATAAAAACACACATGTCAGAACGCGACAAGGCGAAGAGAAGGTTCAAAAGAACACCTAACGACTATAATTGGTCATCTTATAAATCCCTCAGAAACCGGTGCAATCGTCTGTGCCGTGATGCCAAAAGACGCCATATACATGATTCCATCAACTGTCTTGATTCCCCCCACGTCTGGAAATTTTTAAAATCATTAGGCATTGGAACAAGCAATGGCGATGTTACTTTCAATAAACCTAACCTTGATGAATTAAATGTCTTTTTCTCCAAACCACCTTTCTGTTTAAGCGAGTCTACGAAACAAAATACTCTTTCAATTTTATCCTCTACAACTAATTTTTCATACCAAGCCTTTTCTTTCAACCAGGTTACAGATCTTTTCGTTCGAAAATCTCTTTTCTCTATTTCTACTAAGGCTATTGGGGCAGATGGTCTACACTTACAAATGTTTAAATTACTACCAGATGAACTTGTTCCTATCATCACTCACATTATTAATTACTCTTTAGAATCAAGTTCGTTTCCTTTTATTTGGAAAAAGGCCATTGTCATACCACTGCCGAAAAGCCCTACACCTATTTCTCCATCCGATTTCCGTCCCATTTCCATATTGCCTATATTATCCAAGATACTTGAGGACACGGTGCGGAATCAATTATCGCGCTTCCTTTCGACAAACGACCTGCTCAGCCCGTACCAGTCAGGTTTTCGCCAAAATCACAGCACTGTGACAGCTCTCATTCATGTCTCAGAAGACATTCGCCTAGCTATTGAAAACAAGCTCTTGACTATACTTGTTCTGTTAGACTTCAGCAGTGCCTTTAATTCGGTAGATTTTGACATTCTTCTTGGCATAATGGCTTCTCTCAATGTTTCTTCTCCCGCAATCAGTTGGTTTGGATCGTATCTTCAAGGTCGCTCTCAGTCGGTATTCTTTGAAGATGACTCGTCGGATTGGTGCAATCTTAAGGCAGGTGTCCCTCAGGGCGGAGTATTATCTCCTTTATTATTTTCTATTTTTATTAATGCGCTTACAAATGTAATATCGTCTCGCTTCCACCTATACGCAGACGACTTGCAATTGTACCTTCATTTCAGACCAGAAGATATTGTAGAAGCTGTAAGTCATATTAATGCCGACTTAGAACGTATTTCTGTTTGGGCAAAGAACTTCGGTCTTTTAGTAAATCCAAAAAAGTCCCAAGTTATATTAATTGGTAGCACCTACAAGTTAAACAATCTTAACAATGATTTGTTGCCGCCTGTATTATACGACGGCTGCCGTATCTCTTACACTAACAGTGTTAAAAACTTAGGTGTTCACTTTGACCGGAATCTGTCCTGGAATTGTCATGTTAATTTCATTAGCAAAAAGTTTTATTACTCTCTTCATTCTCTGAAACGCCTCCAAAGGTTTCTCCCAACTCAAACTAAAATAATTTTAGCGCAGACACTCCTGCTCCCTTTGCTTGACTATGCTGATGTTGTTTTTCTTGATGCAAATGAAGACCTCCTTGACAAATTAGAAAGACTTCAAAATACGTGTATTCGTTTTATTTATGGCCTTCGGAAATATGATCATGTCTCGGAGTACCGCAAACAACTTAAGTGGCTACCTATACGGCTACGAAGAGACCTTCACATCCTTTCTACCTTATTCTCTATTTTAAACTGTCCCAACTCACCTAAATATCTTTGTGATCGTTTTAATTTCCTCGTGCCTGAAAACCAACCAGCCAGGTCTAACAAGTCTACTCTTTTAAAGTATCCCCCACACACTTCCTCTCGCTATGCCAACTCTTATACTGTCCGTGCTGTTAAGCTGTGGAACTCTCTTCCGTCCTCCATTCGGGAAAGTACATCGCTGCCAGCCTTCAAAACGTGTCTAAAGGAACATCTTATATCACTATAAGTTTTTATTTTTATTTAAAATGTATAAGTTATATTATATATAAACATTATATGTAAGCATGTATTTATTTATGTATGTATTTGTTAATGTATTTACCTATATATTTATGAATTTATGCATTTATATTTATTAAATTTAAGATTCAAATAGTTAAGTTTAGTAGTACGTAAGAATTTATATAGTTATGTCTACTTGTACACATACTGTTATTACTCACTATACATCCTCTCTGTATCGCAAGGTTAGCTGTAAGAGAACTCTTTTAGAGTTAAGCTCACCTGTACATCATTGTATTTCTATGTAGTGTTACACTATGTACTTTAAACTGTGTACAAAGCTTAAATAAATAAATAAATAAATAAATAAATAAGTAACTCAATATTATAATTATGCTACACAGAGGAGAGAAAAGAAAGAAAACGAAATTATTTTGTTACTTTTCATTGTTTTAAGTGTTTTGTTTTTTTCTATCTTCTAAATCATAAATATATAGCAAACATGAAATGCTTAATCGTTGCTTTTTGAGGACTAATTCTCTGTATAAAACATATAGTCCTATCCTTGCATTGTCTTTGACATAATCGAAATAACAATATGTTTTAAATGGAGATTTTACTCTCCGTAACCTACGGTAAACACTTTTCTACGTAAGATGTGCTTAAACCTTAATACCTATTTATAAAAGAGCAGGGATTTCCCGCATTTTGATAATATTATTCAACAAAATATCCTTCATTTTCCGTATGAACATCTCATCTCATGTTTATCAAATATTAAAAACTTTTTTATATTTATAAAATCTTGAGTTACACCGTATTTTCGTCAACAAACAAGCAAAGTAAAAATCTTTGTGAGGAAAGTTCAATTTTCAAGATGGCGGAGCAAATCTATACAGTCTATACGACTCGCGTCGACGATTCGAGGATATAGTTGCGAAGATTTACGTCGCCTTGTGTAAGAAGGGACACATCACAAAATATAAGTCGTAAACAAACATAAATGAAGATTGTGTTTGTCAAAAAGATAAAAAGGTACTCGCTGATGATAGAAAGATAAAAAAGTATAAGAGTATGTTCGCCATTTCTGTTTATAAAAGTGTTGTGAATAAAGTATGTGTTTTGACACTTTAAAAAGAAATACGGAAAGAAAAACAAAGAAAGGGGAAATATATCTTTTATATTTTGCATTAATAAAATAGTTTCAACTAAGAATTCACAGGTAAAATATAGAACACGAAACAACTCTAGTGTTGAGCAAACTTGAGAAACAATGTTTTTACAAAAATGGACATAGCATATTGAGAGGTCAAGACATAGCCTAAAGCCTTAACACGTTGTATTTAAAATACTGTGTACAGAAATCTTATTTTTTAACGAAATAATCAAAAGTTTGGATATTGGTTGTTACCTTTAAGTAGGATTTTAGAATTTAACAATGGACCAAATTGTCACTAGCGACGTTGTGGTAAGACAAGCCGGGGCGGAAGCCCAGGGCGCCGAGCTTAAGGGGCTCCTGCGATGCCCCTTAATATACCGTACCTTTGGAAGATTTCTCTCAACACCAGTAAAAATGGGGCGTTACAAATATAAGGCCCAGGGCGTCAGTAAAGTTTAAACCGGCGCTGCAAATTGTAACGCAGTATCTATAATACGCTATGCAATTATTTTCATTAAAATTAAAAGAACATTTTATTGTGTTTTTATTTAATTCCAGATTATAAGAATCGAATTTAATTATGGAATCCTGCTTAATTAATACATAAAATCTGGATGACCGAGCTCTGCTCGGTATTTTTTTTTTAAATTGTGTTTTTTGGAAATTATATTATATTTAAGTACGAATTACTAATAAAATGATGAAATATGAATAATATTTTTCGATTTTACCGATAGAAAAAGTTAAGTTTATGTTTAAGTTGATTATCGATGAAACACGAATAAAATGACATTTTCTAAAAATGATTCCTAGCTAGATCGATTTATCGCCCCCGAAACCCCCTATATATTAAATTTTATGAAAATCGTTGGAGCCGATTCCGATAATCCAATTATATATATACAAGAATTGCTCATTCAAAGATGTAAGATTTTACGTATATTTTTATTTTAGGTGTGATGAATAATAATGATTGCCAGCCTCTTATTAATTTTCTAGGACATCTTAAGAATAATATTTAACTTTGGTCACTTATCTGTTCACATGTTTACAGACATATAAAACATAAAAAGAAACTATATTTTTATCTCTGGTTATTTCCCACTATTACTTGAGTAATCTAGAATCGCAATAATTGTCTCATTTATTTAATAATACTTAACGTAAGCAAATGTTTGTTTTATAATTAACACGATTGTAGAAAATTGAGTCAAACTGCAAATATATATTTATATGAACATGGATTTAAAGAAAATGATTTATGATGTAATTCGTTTTATAATATTATGGAAAAGGAAAAACACACCAAACTCTTTACTTTTATTAAATAACTAGCTGTCGCCCGCGACTCTGTTCGGCCGGGATTAAAAAAATTACTTTATTAATAGCCTATGTGTTCTTCCAGGCTATACCAAACTTCAGCGAGATCCATTCAGCCATTCTGGAGATACCTTCTAACAAACATCCATCCAAACATTCACGTCCTACTATCTTATTTCTTACTAATATTATAAATGCGAATATTTAGATGCATGGATGTTTGTTTGAAGATATCTCGAGAACGGCTGGACGGGTCTTGCTGAAATTTGGCATAGATGTTGTACATAGTCTTTTTTTTAATTTCGCGCAGACGGTGTCGCGGGCGACAGCTAGCTTATAACAGTAAGATATTTTTTAAAGGATAGATCCATTTATTGACATACAAACTGCAGTATTCGGAGACGCTAATCTTAGGCCCTTAGTGTAGTTTTAGTGAGGGGAAGGGATTACTTGAGTAACCATTAAATTGTAGTCGTGCGACTACAAAATCTTATTGACCTTTATTTGAGTTATTTAACAATTGGAGCATTTATCTAGGTGTTGTTTAGACATTTAACAAAATGGTTAAATAATATTCACTTACTTTATAAGGACGTACTTATTTGGTTTTTCTAGTATCTACTCGTGTTACTTAGTTTTATTTGGCATAATTAATTATTATTTTTGTTTTGTTCTAGCAACATGGGCCTACTAGAATTCGAAAAATGGTCGAACCAAGATCTATTCTCTGGTCGGTCTCGCATGTGTTCTAAGTTGCACGGCTTGACCCCTGGTCAACGAAGAGTCTGTCGGCGGTACCAGGACCACATGCCTGCGGTGGGGGCTGGCGCAAAGCAAGGCATAACTGAATGTCAGTACCAATTCAGAAGTCGACGGTGGAACTGCACGGTGACCGGTGATGAAACGGTGTTTGGGCCTTTGACTTTGATTGGTGAGTTTACTGTATGAAAACATATTGTCGTCCTTTTCATTCCCTTTGCAAAAAACAGAGATAGGAATAATGGTGAGAAGTTGAAAAAAATTGGTCTTTAAACAGAAGACAACTTCTAGTTAAATTGGTAATAAAATTTAATAATAATGGTTCACATTAGTTTAAATTAATTAATTACGTTTTTTTTGTTTTTCACGAAGAAAAGATTGGATTGGAACGCCAAAGTACTAGGATTTCAAAGAAGTACAGGGACTTTATCAAAAAATGTTGGCTCAAATTAATATCATGGCCGAAAATCATATTCGAAAGATAATACCATTGAAGGAATAAAATAACAAAAAGGTCAATAAATTGACTAAAGGAATTACTAGGCCGGAACAATTGCGTATAAAACTGAATAACTATGTCGTAAACAAGAAGATATTCCTTTTCTCTTTACGACACAAACTACTTAGTTATTTTTATTGTTTATTTATTATATTGCGTTGTTCTTGGATTTATTTCAGCTTTAATTATTTACTAAATATTATGTTATGTGATTAAAAAAAATATCGATAGAGTGAGATGTACCAGGACCGTAGCGGTGTAAATTTACACTTTACAGTAGTGTAATTTTTCATAAAGACGCCACAGAATACGGTCTTAAATCTTTGCTACCAACGTGCTCCCCGACGGGACATGTCTGATAGATTTATAGCTCTTTACCTCCTTAGCTACAAATCTTTTACACATTCTACGACAAAGATATATTTCCTGGTCCAAGAGAAAATCTATTTAAATGTTTATAGTTTAATCTAGACTCGCTCACTTATTTAATCTTGTAGTGACATTTTTATTAAAATATATTGTTGTCTCTCTTTTGTCAAAGAGAATGGAATTTTAGCGTAAATGTAGTCTTGTACGCAGTTTGTGATTGATCATGATTTATGGAAGTTTTAAATCATTTTAATTAATCGGCATGTTTGCTAATTTATAAATATTGTCATGTTTATTTTATTATTCACCAAATTTGAGTCGACTTTCACGTTCATTGCCGTTTGAAGGTGAAAGGTATTCATGAACGTAGCCTTGAATCAAGTCATGTAAAGAGGAAAAACCTCGACATCTATTAGTGAAAAACTGTCAGGCCTGGTGTCATTTTAGTTAATTGCGTTATTAAGATGCTACAAATATGAAACCAAATAAAATAATTTTGTTGTATATAGCAAAATATTTTTTTTATTTAATTTTATTAGTGAGAGTCAAAATGGCGGGTGGACAGACTTTGACAACTTTATGTTTTAGATAAACCATACCAGGATAACATAAATATTAGAACATTATATTGTGTTACAAATTGAGTTACACGTTACTAAGAACTTACATATGTTTTATGTTGTCCTTGTATTTGTTGTAACCAATACTAGGTATGTTACAAGTTACGTCATCCATACATATTTATAGTCCAGCCCAACTTTAGGGCGCGCTGCAGGCACACATTAAAATCCGACTCAGGGGCGCCCTGGGCAGTTGACCCACTGTAAATGTGGTTCGGAAAAGTCTTTTATGTACCCAATGTTTTGTTTTTGGCAGCATCAAGAGAGACAGCGTTTACAAACGCGATAACATCAGCGGGTGTATCCCTGGCGATATCCCGCGCGTGTCGTGACGGCCGGCTTGCTAGCTGTGGCTGCAGTCGTGCGGCTCGCCCTAAGAACCTACATGATGACTGGGTGTGGGGCGGCTGTGGAGACAATCTGCAGTATGGATACAAGTAAGTACTTGCAGAAATAAAGTATGGAGGCACGGTTTTGACACACTTGCTTCTACATTCCGGGTACCTCTAAAACAGTTTTTCGCATGTATTATGTGTGAAGCTAACTTGACCTAATTTGAAGTTGATTAGTGACGTTATTTTTAACTCAAATTTTTTAGCATTTTATCAATGGGGTATGGTAGGGTTTATTAACTATTTTTGTATTTTTTTAAGTAACTAAAAATGAGCATTTTATCCCATCCAGATTTTTATTCCGTTGACAGGTTTTATTTTAAAATAATTAAATAAGGAAGAAGAGGATAGCATTATTATTATCCGTTGCTATTATTCCTGCTGAAACGAATTACATCTATCTATCTTTTTCTATTCTGTTGGTTTCTTACATATCTATCTCCGTTCTACCATTTTCATGTACTGTTTCATGTTTAGCAACTCCAAACATTTATTGTGCCCTGGTACTTAAGATAAAATTGCGTCAGGTGCAAAATGTCTTCTTGGGAGAAGAAAAAAATGACTTAATTTTTTTTACTAATCCATTACAACTTATGGTACCCTGGTACATGTTTTCGTAATACGCAAGGTGGAAAATGGCGCTCATCTCCTTTTACCTACTGTTAGTGATGTTAACCTAGTAGTCGCGAGTTAGTTATGTTAGGTAATATTTTCGTCCGTATGAAACGGAACATCCGTTGGCAGGAACGGCATTTCAAACTAACGCGTGGTGGACAAACTGTTTTGACAGGCCCAAAAAATTTGTTCGCCAACTAGAACTAAATTTTAACTGCCAACCATGAAGAGAGCAAAGTTTGTCTTCTTCTTAGAATCATTTTAGGCTAAGGCAAATTCCGAGAAAATTCATTGAAAAATGAAATTAAACCTGCCAAAAGTTTTTCAATTAAGTTCACCAAGTTCGCCAATTCCCATAAATTTCCTCAAAAACATGAAATTTTCTGCATATTTTGTAGTTAGGTATCAGGATAACATAACGGAAAAGATAGCGCTCAAACGTTTCACGTGAATTCTTGAAACACAAAAATAAATATTCTCGTATATTTGCAATTTTTGCCTTATAGTACACGGAATAAGGTACAAAATAGCTCGAATTCGTATATTTAGGATCGATCATCGGGGTTACCGCTGAAAATTCCCGTTGGAGGTTGTTTTACCAGGGGATCAAAAATGTCGAGGAGGATAACGTAGTTAATATTTGACAATTTTACAAATGTCTTAAAACAAGCCCTTTCAATGTCACACGTATGAATCGGACATGCATGTAGCATGTCCGATTCATATGTTTGGCATAAGTTTTCTTTAATAAAAAGGAAAAAATATGAGGAAGATAAAATATTTCTTCAAATAATCCCGCTAAAAAATAAATATTTTTTACCATAATTTAAAATATGGAACTTTTTAGTAATAGCAATATTGTCGCTAAAAATCTTAACAACGACAGGTGATATAAATGTCGTTTCTAGTTTTCTATTGATTTCCACAGAATTTTCACTACTACTTACCATTTATAGTAGCCTAGTACTTGTAAGTGAAATGCCTCGGAAAATCGACGCACCGATGACGTGGCATGATGTCATACTTGTGACGTGTATTTGACGTGTACTTTTTAATAATACACACCGATTTTGAATTTCATATTACCTTTAAAGCTTGAATTCAAGTTAATTAATTAACTAATCATCAGATTAACTTAAAAAAGTTATTAAAATTTTACTTCATGTCACAAAATATTATTTTCTTTTTATTTATTTGTTACCCATGTGTTTGTTATTTTTACTTTTTTTTAAGGAAGTGTCAGGTGCCATTCACCTGCTCTCTTCTTACCTGGAGGACCAGGGCATCAAAGATGGAATGGAGTACCATTTACCTGTAACGCACACAACTACAATATCACCTGCAAAGCGATCGATAAATATGATGAATAGAGAGAGGGATATATGTCTCTCTCTTTCTAACTCAAGATTTACGCTTGTGTGTACGTGAATCTACGTTTACCTGAAAATACGTTTCACGTGGAAAAGTTACTATCACGTGCTTTATTGTTTCCTAGTACTCGGGTAGAATGTAAGACAGGTGAGGTTTACCTGTGCTGGATCTTTCGCCGCACCACACCTGTCATCGTATTAAAAAAATTAAAAAATAATCCATGGAAAATTAATTTACGAATACGATTTTTATATCCATAAAAAAGATTACTATTAAATAAAAAGTTAATCGTTTAGAAATTTTTAAAAGTTCAAACAATAAAATGATAAATTTTCTTTATAATAAAAAATAATAATTACCTTTTTCTCTTATCTGTAGTCCTGTGGTCTTTCTTATCAATTTAAGTCTGCTGTCAAGGGAACGTCACGCCTATCAAACATGGCGATAGACAGGTCTTCTACTAGGCATACATAAACCTCTACTGATACGACTTCAGAATGTAACGTGGTTCACAAAACGAGTGATTTGTGGTCTAGTAAAAAACATTTGCTCGAATGTTAAAGTACTAAAAAAATTGAAGTAATAAATTTGTAATTTTTGGATATACCAACGTAATATGATTTATCAAATACTAATACTATTATTAAACAAAAACTACACTTAAGTAAATTGCTACATTTAGTTGAATTAATGACGGACAATATTTAATTGAAATTGATGACATTTTCCAATTCCATATCAAATTTACGTTAAGTTTTTGTACGAATTTTTCGTACCGAGTTGCGTCCGCTACATAGTTACCGTAGCAACGTAGAAGTCCTCCTACGGAATTCTACGAGCCTGGTAAGTTTTCACGTACTGAAAAGGTTAATTTGCCTCTGAAATTTTTTTTTTTCAATGAAATAAATTAACAAGATTAAGAAAATAAATAAGCGAAATATCACAATAAACTCCAATACTTTCCCACAAAAACAATTCATGTGGTTTTCAATTTTTAAGCTTTTCAACTTTTTCTATTTGAAATGTAAACTATAGAAAATAGAGTCATCAGGGATACTTTTACCGTTCGGTTTATCTTCTCATGTGCATTATAGACTGTGTTTGTTCCCTTTTTTCGATAGCGAAGGAACACACACACAACACTGGATCCATAACCACTAAAGTGGACCGCACGTGAACTTTTTCATAATGACCGGATAACCTTTAACCCCACGTCAACGGAACTGATACTATCGATTTTAAACTCTATTTCTAAAATAGTAACGTATAAATTTGTGGAACCTTTATAGTTAGCAACGAGTCCGCATTTAGCGGTGAAAATTCCCGCTCGAGGTTTTATTACCAGGAGAGCAGGAATATAAGGGTTAGGACTGGCAGTGAAAATTCCCTTTCCAGAGGAAAAGAGAAAAAACATAAAGAATGAATGAGATAGCATGCTCCGTTCAATATCATCAAGATTTCCATGAAAGTATGAAAGTTTGCAAGGAAGTACCAAACGAACCTTTTTTAAAAAATGATTTCATAAAAAAAACTAGACAGTATTTTAAATAAAAAAATATTTTCCAATATTTTGTCCATTTGAATTTTCTTCATTGGGAGAGCATAGACTTGAGGCGGTTGAAAAATGAATGGAATGCTGACATAAAAGGCGGGAGTGGAACCCTTACATAGGAAAAATAGCTAGCTTTCTCCGAACAAGGAATTTTCCCGCACTCGAATATTTTCTTTACTAGGGCAGAAGAAACCGCAAAGGGTTTGAAAGACATTCCTTAAATATTTGAGATTCTTTCGTATTAGGTATATTCCGTAAAGGAATAGTTTAAAAACTTTTAATTCTAATTTTTAATTCGGTTATAAAGTTCTTGTAAATTATTTACCTTTATGTTAGTTATTTTTTAAACCACTATAATTATTTTCATTACACACTTTTTTTCCAAGTTTTCACTGAAATTTCACTGAAACCTTTAACCGAGCTTTTCTCTCTTTCTAACTTCATCCGGCCGGATAACCCGCATTAATGCTGATTATCCGCGAAAAACTACCAGGCGAGCATACAATGAAGAAGGTTGATAATCCGCTCTCGATGATATTATTCTATCTTCCGAAAGTTTTTTAACAAAAGCAAACGTTTGTTTATTTTAATAAACGGTATGCTTTTTTAAATTAAGAAGCCGATATTTTTTTATTTAAAATATAGGTCAATCACTATTTTAGTTACTAAGTACAAGTATGTACTTTTCACATATAAAATACTTATATTCAGATTTCTGAAACACTTCTTTGTAAACACGTCAATCATAATCGCCATTCAACTTTTTATTAATAAAATAGCATGTATATCGAAGTGTCAAATTAATGTAGTCTTAAACTTGGACAGAAAAGAGATCCACATATCTTTTCTTTCAGTTCTAACTCGTTATTCTATTTTAACCTTTATTTTTTATACCGTACGATTGGTTTCTGATTAATACCAAAGTTGTGCTACGAATCAATAATATCTTCGTAGCAAAAATCGTAGACAGAATCTACGAACTATAACTATCTCTTTCCAAAAGACCTTTCTTTTTTATGACGTAGCAATGTACCAGGAGCAAAATCTAATAACAGTGCAGCCTTTTGAAGTCTTTATGTGATTTACATTTTATAACCTTTTTACAGTTGAAATTTACGAACTTTGATGTTAACATGTAAAAAATATAAAAAAAATTGAGTCTTTAAAGACATTGATATTCCTTCAGGTTCACCGAAGGTTTTGTGGACATTCGTGAGCGAGAGAGAAAGGTGAAGAGAGGCAGCCGGGAGCAAGGAAGACAGCTGATGAACAGACATAACAACGAGGCTGGAAGACGGGTGAGATTCTTCAAACGTGACAAGTTCATTCAGAATAGAGCAATATATTGCCATCCCTTTCATTCCCACTAAGAAAAATGAGATAGCAATTAGTTTTGTGTTTCGCCAATGAAAACTCATAGTGTTAAAATAATTATTTTGCACGGTTTTTGATAAATGCTTGTAAACAGTGTCATGATGTCAAAGTTACCTATAAGTTTATTGGTCGAGCTTACCGTGGGCTTCTGACACCAAAAACACATCGTCATCCCTGTCATTATCTTTGAAAACACAGAGATAACAATATGTTTTAAATGGAGATTTTGGTCTCAGAAACCAACCGTTATTGAATTGCTTGTTTATTAATTAATCTTAATTAATTACTAATTAAATTAATAATTTTTGTACCAGGCAGTCATAAAGAAGTCAAGGGTGACGTGTAAATGTCACGGCGTGTCGGGATCTTGCAGCCTCATTACGTGCTGGCAACAACTGCCTTCGTTTAGGGAGATTGGTAAGCTCGTCGGTTTCCACTGCTGAAACATGTACAAAAGCATTTATATCACGATTTCATAACAGATAATTAAACCAATTGTCTTTTTAATCGCTTCCATTAAAGGTATCTTGGGTGAAAGTTAATGAGGCAATCCCTCCTGTCCTATGGTGCTCTGGTACATTATAATTAATTTCTTCATTAAAATGAAGCCATTGTTCGCGGGGATTTTAATGATGGCCGGTTATCATTAATGATTCCGGTCAATTCAAGACTTACATTTTGTTATGTATCTAATTTGGAATACAAAAGACGACCCAACCTCTCTCTGAGACTAACTTAAACGGTTAATCGTTGGTTCCTGAGACCAAAATATTCCCTTTCATTATCTTTGACAAAATAGAGATAACAATATGTTTTAAAAGGGGATTTTAGTTTTTTTTTTATATTATAAGGTGGCAAACGAACGAGCGGCCACTTGAAATCGCTGAAATAGCGAAGTGACCGTTGCCCATAGACATACGCAATTCCATATGCGTTGCCTACCTTTAATCGACGGAGAAGAGGATGCACACAAAGGAAATATTTTCCCTTCCCATGCATCCTCTCCTCCGAAAAGTCCACTTCCACTTCCCATCCTTTCCTTATTAAAGGTAGACAACGCATATGCAATTGCGTATGTCTATGGGCAACGGTCACTTCGCTATTTCAACGATTTCAGGTGGCTGCTCGCTCGTTTGCCACCTTATGATATAAAAAAAATAGAAAATAAGATGTTCAATTTAATTATTTTTATAGTAATAACAAAGAGAATCCACTAAATTAGACGTGTACACATTACACAATATTTAAAGCGATCTAAGCACATTTATTAATATAATTATAGGGTCTTTACAAGTAAAATGCATTCTTTAAATTATGAAACTATTAACTAAACGCTCTTAGAATAGGGTGACCAATTCAACTTTTAATATAGGATTCATAAACCTTTTAACTTTAGAATTAAACTTTCTGTCGCTCACAACGATGAATTAAAAAAAACTTAATAAGTAGCCTTTGTGTTCTTTAAGACTATGTTCTACATGTATACCAAATTTCGACGAAATCGATGCTAGCGTTATGTAGATACCTTCTAACAAACATCTATCTATTATAACATTCGCATTTATAATATAAGTAAGATATGATTGCGAAATACATTAAAATCTAGTAATTTAACAATTTGTTATACAAATGTTTAATATCACACTCATTTTATGGTAAGTTTCCACCGTCGAAATACATGTATAACAACAATCACGTTTTAAAAAAACACATACGATTTTTTTTTCATTTTCACACATTTTTTCTATATTAACAAAATGGTATTTTATTTGTAGTCAACGATTATAATTTTTTGTTAATTGTAAAATGGAATGTCCACAATTTTTTGTACTTTATGGCCGCACTACACTAAAAGTTTTTGCCCATAGAAATTCCTTTAGTGGGCGTATGATAAACGGGCCCACCCAAAATATATTGTGTCTTTAGCATAAACTTTATAATTAACTCACAATTAATATTGTTTTTATTACTATAATTCAGTTAATTTATAAATTTTCTATCGCCCCTAGAAATATTATAATAAAAAAATATTATTTTTTATTTTGTAAGCAACATCAAACAACTTTAAAAAAATCTAAGCTCACAAAAAACACGCAAAGATAAAAGTATGTGAAGACATAGATTCTACGTTAAAATGTCTAATTAATTAAGAAATTTCAAAGCAAGAAGTTCTATAAAAAAGAGACATCTTTTTTTTAATTGTTTCTACCAGTTTCCATTCAGCCTGTACGGTAAATCGTTCACAGACTATAAATTTATTGTTTCGAATGAATCTCTTACAAAATACTCGCGTTAATTAAGCTGTGGTATAAATAAATATATTTATTAGCCATTAAATGCTTTTAACCGAACATTCTATAATGAACTAATGTCGAGTTTACGATCTGCCGACAAAAGACGATTGGCCGAAAAAGGTTTTTTGTGACACCATACTATTTTTTTTATTGTCTATGGTTTCATTATTGAACAATGGTTAATTTAAATATTTCGGGTGGTCTTATTTTTCGGTTTTCTTCGAGAGAAATTATCTATTTATATAACATTAAACAGTTAAATAATTGTAATTCGCCTTTAAAATGTGTGAATTTAAAACACTTCGTTTATTAGGTGATTATCTCAGAGATAAATACGAGGGAGCCACAGAAGTAAAAGTGTCCAGACGCGGCAAACTCCGACTCGGCAATCCACGTTACAGTCTTCCCACTGCTAATGACTTGGTCTACTTAGAGGACTCGCCAAACTATTGTATCAAGAATGAAACACTCGTAAGTATAATGAAAATGGAATGAAACGAATTGCCAGCTCTAGAATTCACTATTCATCTTGAATAAACTTAGATAACTAATCCTTACTAATATTATAAATGTGAAATTAAATCAGTCTGTCTGTCCTTCTTTTACATAAAAACTACTGGACCGATGTAATTGAAATTTAATTTTTAAGCTGTATATTTGATAAGAATAAATATGACATAAATTTTTTTCTTTTCTGTTCTGTACCGTTATTTTGTTCTGTTCTGTAAAATTAAAACTATTATACAATATACTTAATGACCATTATAACCTCTTTGGTAACTTGCTTTATTTATCCACCAAAGAGGTCGAATAGTTGAAACTGTAGCTAATAAAAAGTTAATAAGTTTGTTAAGCAAAGGTCAATTGTGTAGGGTTCCCCCGGCACAGCGGGTCGTGCGTGTAACAGGACATCAGCGGGCATGGACGGGTGTGCTCTGCTGTGTTGCGGCCGGGGCTACAATACTAAGAAAATCGTAATCCGGGAGCGCTGCGAGTGCAAGTTCCACTGGTGCTGCCGAGTCGACTGTAACACGTGCGTTAGGACGGTAGAATTGTACACTTGCAAATAATAGCCCCAAGTTTATTCTGTATTTTGTAGTTTAGAACTCTATGGAAGATAAGTACTTCTAAAAATATTCATCAAAAATGTTTATGAATTCAAAAGATCTCTTTCTCTCTAAGATTTTCTTAACTGCCAAATAGATGCATTTATGTCATAAAAATAATTATTTTTTATCTTATAATGTTTTAGAAACAGTGGCGTACTCCTATTGTACCTTCAAATTTCTACTTTGATTTTGTCAAAAACTGGTTGTGCATTGGAATATGTTCCCACCTATTTAAGTTTATTATTTAATTGTAAATATTAGATTTTAGACTTTAGTGTTACTATTGCTAGAGAGGCTAATTTATTTTTAATCTAAAACTAATTTATTGCTTGAATTGTTAGTAGACAATATAACAATTGTAAATTACAATAATTATGTAATACTCTTCAAAAATTGTTAAAAAAATTATTAAAAATATTACAACTTAGACCGAAGTCCGCTATTTGATTTTTCCTGGGTTTATGTCAATCAAGAATTTTATTGTTAAAAATAAACAAAAGTTTTATCTATACTTATAAAATACTTTCTTAATTTGTATTATTCACTTAAATGATTTAAATAGCACAGCGCTAAAAATAATTAGGTCACTCTAACGTGGTGCGCTATTAACACAAAATCAGTTTTTTTTTATTTTATTGCGTAAAATGACAAGATCTCAACAACAATGAGACTCGCAATTATATCAACCCAATAAGTTCTACCCTATAATCCATTTTATATTTCTTTGCTATAATCTGTACGCTGAACATAAACTATATTTTTATCCTATGACAATGGCATTGACAGATGATAATCTGTGGTTTATGGCTTTCGTGCGTCGAAATGTGATTGATTTCAAAGTTTGAAAACGCAACCATTTTGGATTAATTGCTTATTATTGAAAATATTGGCATTTTGTATTTTCAGTTAAATTCTTCAACAATAAAAATTACCATTGTCTGACTGTAAAATGGGAAAGCCTTCGTCGACCCGTCTGTCTGTTAGTTGATGTTTTGAAAACACAGTATATTGGTGTGGTCAGAAAGTATGTTTAAAATTGGGTTTCCAGTTTTCAAAAATTGCTACCTAAGTGCTTAAGAACGTATTTAACGATTTTTAACAGATTTTGCTTTATATGTGTTGTTCTAAACGTTTGCTTTTTTACATGATCGAATTAATTTCGTAATTTTAAACATCATCATATTAACAAATTTCCTCCTCCTAACACTAAGATAACATTGAAATACTGTGGGGAAACTAAATATACTGCAACAATATTGTGTAACGTACTTGTTGATCACACTTTAAGCCTATGTTTTGGTGTGTAAAATATATGAAAATATTATTTAAATGTGTTCATATATACTTTTGTCTTTAACTAGGATATTCAACCTTAAAAGATGTTAATAAAGTCATTGCATGAAAAATAATTTTAGGATGTTTCACTGTATTGCCCTGATTGCTTCAATCATATCAAATTGTTTAAAAAAATCATAGGCAGTATCCTGGATGCAGGTAGCCCAGGACTGATCATCATGGCAATCTATATGAGTGACCTATACCCAGCAGTGCACACCTCATGGCTGAACAAGCAACAAATAAATCATTTTTCATTGAAACAATCTTAAATATGACATTTGCTAATACTTATTATTTTCCAGCAAGATTCAGAACAACCAACAGTTTCAAATTCTTTATATAAAATGAATAATTCAATAAGAAAAAAGAAACTTGGTGTCAAAAAGAGAAAAAGCAATAAAAAAACATTAAACAATGTTTTCAAAGTATTTCAACAATTAAAAGCAGATAATTCATCAGTGAATAGTTCGTACAGTTCCGTCAGCTCAATAAATAATACCATAATAGATTTAGACACAATAAAGACACCTGTAAAGAGCAAAGATACAAGAAACAGTCTAATAGTAATATGTGACGATGATGACACAAATCCAACAGCAAATATTACAAACATGAGTCCTCCGATACATTCATCAACACCTAACTCTAAAGTGAAATTAAAAAAATCAAACAGCTGTAACAAGACACAAAACACAGATGTTAATTTAACTAAAGATATAAATCAGAATTCCTTTTTAACAATAGATTTAACAGGAGAAAGTACACAACAGAATACAAATACAGTTATAGATTTAGTTAATTCATCAGATAAACTAAATTTTACATCTATAAGTGATGTTAGTCTCTCGATGAGTGATGATTCAGAGGTAACAGTACTGAATATGCAAAAGAATACACAAAGTAAACAAATGCAGAAATATGTAAAAGGTATATCAAAGATGAACTGTCAAGAGAGAGGGAAATTATTAGAAATGATAATGCAAACTGTATTCAACGGATGTGATGTCCAACAAAGTCAAAAAAATCTTAATATTCAGGTATGTATCTCTTCTTACTATTAAAAGACATGATATATGATATTACTAGCTGTAGCATGTGTGCGGAATTAAAATAAAACTGATATCATAGCTTATGTGTTTCTCCAGACTATATTCTATATCTGCCAAATTCCACCGAGATCTATAAAGCCATTCTCGAGAAACCTTCAAAGAAACATCCATCCAAACATTTGCACTCAACTAACTTTTAGACAAGTTACAAGATAAGGCCATATTTTTGACCTTTGACCTTTTGTCAGTCTTCGCTGTAAAAAAAGGCTACAAAGGTAGAGGAATGCCAAAGAAAGTATGGATGGATTGTGTGAAAGAGGATATGCATAAAAAAGGGGTAGATTTAGATATGACGGCTGTGATGAATGGAAGCGTACATACTGTGCTGACCCTCCATAGGGATAAGGGCAGGTTGATGATGAGTCTTTGCTGTATAAAAACATGTAGCTATCTCATTTTTATCAAAGAAAATGACAAGGATGGATATATTTTATAGTGTCGTTTCAGCAATGAAAACTTAATTTGACAATTTTGATAAATAATAAAAATGTCACTTAATTTCAGGCACAAAGTACCAGGGCAACAGAAACTGTAGAAGATGCGTATATCAAAGAAGTGATTCTCGGCCAATCAAAATCAAGGAATAGTATCGGAAGTAACATTTACAATCCCGAGAAGGATTTAAAGAATAGAAAAGGTCTACGAAGAATTATTATTGATGGAAGTAATGTTGCTATGCAGTAAGTGTTCATTTAATACTATGATATACCAAATAAAGTGCTGGATAAATATCTAACAAATAAATTAACTAATACGTTCCTCGCATTTCTAGACTGATTTGGAAATTTTTACATACTAATAGTCACCCGTAATATAGGGTAGGCTCCGAGCCCCTCAGTGGAGACGTATAGTGAGCTGATGATATACATACTAATGATGAATTTATTTGACGAATAAGTTCTCAGCAGGAATAACATAGATAGTGAAAAACGCACTAAATGTTTATTTTACTTGGAATAGACGTTTACTGTCATACTTGGAAGTTTTTAGATAGTGTTTATTGGTGTCTTGTAGCCTTAGTGTGAAAATCTACACTAAGCACCTATTTCAGTAACCATTATAATGTAACTGAGTGATTAATAAACTAACATTATTAGAAAGCACTATTTCACAGATTTTTAAGCAATACTGACATAAAATAAAAATATAAAACAAAAATACGCTTTTTCCTAGCAAAAGCTAGATAAAACAAGATTTAAAAATTCAGGCCTAAAAACTTTATAATACAAGTTATAGATATGCTTTGCCTTAACTTAGGGTAGGCTCCGAGCTCCTGGGTGGGGATGTATAGTGAGCTGATGATGATAGATATGCGTTTTTTTTCTTTGATATATTTTAAATTGTAGGCATACAATGGGCAGGAAGTTTTCAGTGAAAGGTCTACAGATATGTATAGAATATTTCACGAAACGGGGGCATGATGTTACAGCTTTTGTACCACGGTTCAGGTAAATTATATTAATACTTTAATTTATATAACAATCTGAAATCCTAAACAAAAACCAAAGAACCTGAGTAAGCAAGAAACCTATATAAGCAAAAGTCAATCTCCGGACCCAATAGTTGACCTCCATAAGCAAAAAAATATAGTTTCCTTGAACTCTCCCTTATCCAGGTTGAACTGTACATTAATACTAGCTGTTGCCCTCAACTCTGTCCGCGCAGAATTAAAAAAAAACTTAGTGAGTTGCCTATGTGTCGTTCCAGACTATGTTATGCCAAATTTCATCGAGATCTGTTGAGCTGTTCCGGAGATAGCTTCAAACAATCATCCATCTAAACATATGCATTTATAATATTAGTAAGTTAGTAGATTAGTGGCCAATCTTTATTATATTGTACACACCGGGCTTTTTATTAATTAAAAACTTTGATCTGTACCCAATACAGGTAACAAAAAGTTTTTTGTGGCAGTTTTGAAGAACAGGGGGAAGGATATTTCTAATTTATCTTCTCCTATAAGTTCCTCTACCCTGCCTTATAGTTTTCTTAAGTTAATTTAGATTAATTTATTCTCAGATGTAAGTTTGGTAAGAGCACTGAGCCGAGGTTATTGGACAGTCTGGAGCGGAGTGGTCTGGTGGTGTACACACCTTCCAGAGAGATACAGGGCAAGATGATAACTTCATATGATGACAGGTAAATATATACTATATGTAAATATAGATAAATTATTCCAGGATAAAAAAAAAATTGTGTAAAAAATTCTTAACATAGATTTCTAACTACCACAAGAAAACTTTTAAGCAAAAAATTTCATCTCCATTTATAAATGACTAGCTGTTACCTTCGATTCTGTTCGTGAATTTACAAATAATTAAATAAGTAGCCTATGTGTTCTACCAGACTATGTTCTACGTCTATGTCAAATTTCATCAAGATCTATGCAGCCGTTCCGGAGATACTTTCTAACAAACATCCATACATCCAAACATTCGCATTTATAATATTAGTAAAATATGTATGTTGATATATTTTTGAATGATAATACATGAAATTGTAAATTACAGTTCAGTTCAAAATTGCCTTCATAGTTATTAAGTTTAAAAAGGATTTTTTCCGTTTGGGCCAATCATCAAATTGTTTGGTAGGTCGATCGGCTCAACGGCAAACAATCTAACCAGCCGATGTCAATCTTACTAATTTATGGATGTTTGTTAGAAGGTATCTCCGGAATGGCTGAATGGATCTTGATGAAATTTTACATAAATCTAGAACATAGTCCGAAAGTACACATAGTCTATTATTTATTAAGCTAGTTATTTATAAATTAAGATGAAATAATTTGCCTAGTAGTTGGATGTTTGTTTAACATCTGCGGAACAGCTGCATGTATGTCACTGAAATTTAACATACATATAGAACAGTGGTTCCCAAACTTATTTTGTCTACTGCCCACTTTGAGAATAAATATTTTTTTAACGCCCCCATATTTTCACATATTTAAAAACCACTATAACTTCAAATTAAATTAATTAATTATTGTGACCTATATATGTACATTAACGGAGAATTCTAAACAAAATTTTTAATATAACCCGCAACTTGAGACCTGCAGCGCCCACAAGGGGGCGTTGTCGCCCACTTTGGGAAAGACTGATATGGAACAAAGTCTGGAAGAACACATAGACTATTTTTTTGTTAATTCCGCGCGGACGGAGTCGCGGGTTTCAGCTAGTAATTATATATATTGTCAACAGATACATAGTGCAGTGCGCGGCCGCGTTTGATGGTGTCATAGTATCATGTGACAACTACAGAGACTTGCTTTCTGAGAATCCAAGATGGCGTTTCGTTATTGAAAACAGATTATTGCCATTTACTTGGGTTGGAGATATGATTATGTTCCCCAAAGATCCTTTAGGCAGAAATGGACCTACATTAGAACAATTTTTAAAACATTAACACATTAATTGCCCAGTTGAGGTGTTATGAAAAAATCGTGGCATTGAAAGTGTTAATTTTTTTTTTGTGTATAGAATGTGTTGTTACCTTGTGATATAGAACTTTAAAGGTTTTTGAAGATTGCCCATTGTTATGGTATTGGAATTTTTTTTTTCATAAATACTTTTTTTAAACATTTTTGGTTTGATAGTTTTTAAAATTACAGATACAATTTAAAAGACAAATTTGAGATTTTTTTTTAATTTTCTTGTTATAAAAAATTCTTGGAAAAATAAGGTATTTTTTCCAAATATTTTAAGAAAATTTCGTGTCAGCTCTTCCCATAGATATTTTATATCAGACCAAAATAGATTAAACCATAGTTATCTATGGTCTTTGGTCTTTTTGGACTTTTATTTATTTAATCTGTACAAATTCAGAAGGTCTTAATAATTTTTGATGTTTAAAACTGAGTTTATGGACAAAATTGTTGAAGACCGAACGGATTTTTGAGTTTTTGCTTTAATAATGAGATATGTTTGTTATATTCGGAATGTGTACAAAATAATCAAATTTAGGTATTTCTATAAACTTGAATAAATAGTCTTGATGTTCATCATCATCATCAGCTCACTATACGTCCCCAGTGAGGGGCTCGGAGCCTACCCTAAGTGAAGGGTGACTAGGCCATAGTCAACCACCTCACCTCTTGATGTTAATTAAAGTTATTTTAAAACACTGATAACCTTTTAAGCGCCAAAACGCTTTAAAGATTTTTAGGTTAGAATTCAACTCGACATTTCTTAATATTTACGAGTTCCATTAATAAATACATAAATCCAATGTAAATAATAAAGTACATACAAACTACCAAAGAATATAATTTCTATTTAGAAAACCTTATTTCAAATATTTAATTGTAGAAAGAAATGATTTGTTCGATTTAATTTAAAAGTACTGGATCTCTTAATTATTTTGCCATTAAAGAGCTTTATCGCTGATTAAAGGCTATGTTTATTACTAGATTTTTTATTCCACGCGGGTGAAGTCGCTGGAAAAAAAATCTAGTATTGTTTTTTTTTATTTTTTTTGTCAAGTTCTAGAATTTGTATCTGTATGAGAAATGTACAATACATTATATTACCTTTGAACTTTGTATGTAAAAGTAACGCAAATGATTTTTTTAAATTTTCTCTTGATTTATTTGTATGAGAAATTTGTTTTTTTTTTAACAAACAGGTAAAGTATGTTTATGATAATTGGCCTAGGATAAATGTACATGAGTGTATAAAAAGTTTCTATAAATATTAACAAAAAAAAATGTGATTTAATAAAAAATATGATGCAGTTGTTTGTCTTTATTCCACTGACCAGTCCTTACTTAGTCATATTTCTGTCCAAAGAGATATGAAGCATTTTTCATTTTGTATATCATGGTAATAAAAAACAAAATGATATCTGAAATTTTATTGTAGTAACTACAATACCTCTATTATCGTCTAATTAAAATATAACTACATTGAAATCTACATGTTTTCTAGGCAAGCCATTTATATTATATAATTTGGCATACATCAAAAGAAGCGTGTAAAAAAACTAGGTTAGGTTATCCTATCGAAAATCTCACTTTCTCTTCCCAAGCTCTTTTCTCTTACCCTTATTACAGTCTTTTCCTTTTCTCACGAACATGACACTTCCATAGTTGAGTTTTATTAATTATTTTCTAAGAAAAAGTTAACCTACATAAAATAAGATCGACTTATTACAACCAACATTTTTTTTATACTTTACAATAAGTAGGTTTTTCTCTATTATATTAATAATTGTAAGAGAGTGATTAACAAGAAATCGATTTTTCATCAAAATAGTTTGTATCTCTCTCTTACTAAATCAATTTTTACATTTAAGATTTTAAATAAAAAAAGATTTTATTAACCATCGCAATGTACAATTTGACTAGCTTTCGCTAGACAATGTACTTCTTTATTAATAAATTATTAATTATTAAAATAATAAAAAATGCATAAAAAAGGAAAAATTAAAAAAACGTAATAAAATCAGAAATAATAAATTTATTAACTAATAATGAAATTATTAAAATTTTATTACAAAATATTAACATAAAAAAACTTAAAAATATCATCACAACATGCTTTTTGTTCTTACAAACAACGTGCAATAAAATAATTATTAACAATAAACTAATAGTGAACAACTTTGGTAACATAAAGTTTCATAAAGACATTAACTATTACATCAAATAATGAAATTAATAATAAAAAACATACAAATTTAAAACAGAATTTAGGTAATTCAATATTGAAAATCTACAAGAAAATAGATTTTAAGAATAGAATTTCTAATTTTTTTTTAAATATCGCCAATTTAATTTAATTTTATTAAGACAATAGGCTTTTTTTGTATTTTGTATAAATATTGCAAAATTTAAAAAAGGAATAAGATTGACAGATAGATTAACTTTTAAATAAAAATTAAGAATCTGTACAATAAGTTTCCATAGACAAGATTATTTTTAATCTATACGATAAGCATATTGCGCGGGAAATGTTTGAATTTAGTTTTTTACTAACAAAGCTAAAATTTTCTAATTTTAATCTGTATTTTTCATTAAGATAAGCTTGATTATTGGAATATAAAATTTTCTAATATTTATAGGAATAGAGAAATGTTTTTATTTACTCTTTCTTATTTTTTTATATTTCTGACTACTTTTTAATTGACTACAATTTTATACAAAAAGCGTTTGACTAAAATTATTATTTTTTTAATAAGGCAACATTTTCAAGCCACTAATTTTTACTATTTAAATCCTAGAAGCAATTTAGGCCAATATTTGGAAGGAATATTTTTTTTATTATTTGCGCCATTTCATCTTCATCTGTCATACATTTTCATACTGGACGTTACATTTCTCTTCAATATCAGTTTTAAAACAAAATTAAACATTTTTTAAACACAATAAAGCTTTTAAATCGCTATTTAGACTTATTTAAAACCATAATAAATAATATTTGTGTAATTTTTCACATAATTGACTTCAAAAATGAATATTTAATTAATTTACTGTCTTATTAATCTGTAAAATAGAAAAAAAAACGCCATTTTGTACTTTGACCAGCAAATCCTTTCCAATCTTTTAACATCTTACCCATAGATATATAACCTATAGATACAATTTTGACATCTCTGGAACCAAAATGAGGAAATTTGCCCCAAAAATTGCCTCCTACAGTCTTTTTTGCCTCATTTTTTGCCCCAGTATTTGCCTCGGATTGATCCATAGGTTATATATCTTTGTTTTTTACACATTGAAATGACCCAAACAACAGAATAGTCAGACATCATCATCCTTCGCAATCATATTATCAAGTTTAAGTTGTTCCAGTTGTAACTGTCGTCTTATTGAACCTAATTGTGTTAATATATTAATATTTTTACCATCTTCTTTTGGTAATGTTTTTAATATATTCTTTTGTACGGCGGGAATTTTCCATTTGTCGTCTACAATTTGCATTTCTTTGCTTAATTCTGTATTTTGGTTAATATCATTTGATATTTTTATTGGTGAATGTTTTAATACTGGTATTGGTAAAGTATCCTCTTTGTTACGTTTAGGTTGTGTATGGATTAAAGCTTTTTCGATTATAACATTGTTGTTTTTATTATCTGTGTAAGATTCTCGTGTATTTTTATTTACTGTGTATTTTTCTCGGGTATTTTTATTTTCTGTGTAATCATCTCTTGAATATTGTTCTGTGAAATTGTCTTTAGTATTTTTGTTGTCTTTGATTATATGTTGTGTATTTTCAGCTCTTAATTCTCTCAAGTTATTTGAAATGAGACTTTCTCGACTTGGATTTAGATTTTTTCTTAAATAACTTTCGATGTCGTAGTTTTGTGAAAATATTGAATTTTCCGGAATATTAATTGAATATGGAGGTTTATTTGTTTTATTTTGATAGTAAAATGGTAGTTTGGAAATATTGTCGCTGTGTGAGGTTTGTGTGATGTCACGTGACACACTGCTGACAGGTTTGTGTGACGTAGATCTGAGGAGAGTTCTCTTCTCCTTCTCTATCTCATTCTGGAGCATGGCTCTTTTCTTCTCATATTCCGATGAATGTTCTTTCATCTGAAAATTGTAAATTACTAACTTTTAAAAAAATCTTTTCATATCTATTACGTATAATTCTAGATTTAGAATAAAATAAATTTGATAGTTATTTAAAAGTCAAGTTACAGTATTTTGATTAGTTACAGTAATTGTAGATGTCTGGGGAGCGGTCGCTTCGCCATTTTGGCGAATTCAATTGGTCAGAAATGTATACATACATATTCGTTGTGTTGTATCTGTCTGTACGTCTCATGTGTCTGAGCAGACTTGAGCGCTCGCAGCTGCTCCTCCAGGCGACGCATCTCTGCTTCTTCCAACATCCTGCAATTGTAATATACCAATGTTACACTACTTTTCCAATGACTTAGATATAAACTACTTGTCGCCCGCGACTTCGTCAGTGCAATTAAAAAAAAGTAAAAAAATTTGCAAACATACAAAACACTGGATTTTCTTTAAATGCATCTAAACATCATGTTTGCGAAATATATATTTTTTGATATTACATACAGACATATCAATGTTATTAATTGTAGATTTTCACAAAATTTTTATAAAAAAAAACAAAATAAAGTTATAAGATAAAAAAATTAACAGATTTTGGTCTCGGAACCAACGATTACTAAAACACAACTGACTTTTCTCTTGTCTTCCTCTCCTCTCGTATCCTCTGCTGCTCCATGATCTGGTTCTTCAACTCCTGCTGGTAGAACTGACGCCGAGCGGCAGCTTCCTGATATACAACAAAAATATCAACTTTACTAATATTCAAACTTTATCAAAATGTTAGAAGGTTAACTAAAAAAAATTCATATTTTTAAAGGGTTTTAAGCCAAATTATTTATGGTTTAATTACAAAATAACTATGTATATAAGAATTATAACAATTTCATATTAAAATACATCGACGGTGGCTCTGGGATTAAGAAATTGACTTGTACTTTAGATTTACATATGTACATTTATCCTATGTTCTTACGGTGAAGGAGAACATCGTGATGCTGCACATATCTGAGAAGAAATTCAAAAGATATGTGTGAAGTCAACTCGCACTGGACCAGCGTGGTTGACTATGTTCTAGTCACTAACTTATAGTAGACTCAGAGGTGGAGAGGAACCTCAGGGTCCTATAGTGAGATGATGATAAATATAATCTTATAAAGAGATTTAATTGGCTTAGTTTTCTTATTGTGTTTATTTTTAGGGTTCCGTATCTCACAGGAAGAAAACGGAACCCTTATAGGATCACTTTGTTGTCCGTCTGTCTGGCAAGATTCTTTTTTGTGAACGTGTTACCTTCTCAGCCTGCAAGTTGCGCAGTTGTATAGCATCAGCATCAAATATTGAAGGCATGTAGGAGTGTCGCATATCTCCTAACTTCTCCTTCTTACTCTTCCTCACTCCACTTCTTATATGATCTGGAATATTTTTTTTATTTTATTTTAATATTAGAAATAAAAAACAGACAGTCAATTGTATCGAAATAGTTAATAGTATTTATATTTACGTTTCCAATCAACTTTAGACCCTTTTTCCACTGACGTGGTTAATAATTTAGTGGAAAAGAAGTTTTAATGACGAAGTTTTAGTAGTTATTGTAAATAAATTATTTTAGAAATCTAAATTTCCACTGACCATCAAAATCACCATAGCTCCTTCTCCTCTCCTTCCACTGCGTCCAGTCCTCTGTCCACTTGTGTGTCTGCTCCCCTGCCACTCGGGGAGACAGCTCTCTCTCCGCTTGTGTTAACTTCTGATGTACCAGTGGCACCTGAAAATTACACAAATAGCTTATTTAATATATTCTCTGCTTATTAGTCTAGATTTCTTTAAGATTTTAATAACTTTTTTTTTTGTCTTGTTAATAAATAGATATGTATTACTAATATGCATACATACAGACAAATTGAATTTCTGCAAGAGTAAATAAATGTTCGCGACATATTTTTTTTATATCAAATCAAAGCAAAATTGAAGTGTCTGTATGTAATATCGAGAAAAAAATCATATTCCGTACCTAATGTAATTGCGTTGATAATACTAAAAAACAAAATATAAAATTTTTAGTCTGTCTGTATGTCCGGAAGTTCGCGTTTGTTCCGGCTAATCTCCGGAACGGGTGGACCGATACGACTGAACATTGATGGGAAGCTGACGCATTTGGACATGTTTTAGGCTACTTTTTAAATTCTGCGCTGACGAAGTCGCAGGCGAGCGCAAGTATTACATACAGACTCTTCAATTTTATTATTTTTTATAGATATAATGTTTTAAACATGTTAAAGCAATGTAAACTGACCGGGTAGAGGTCCACGTCGTCAGTCTGCACGGCGACTGACAGAGGCCGTGTCACGCTCTCCACCTGCACTCCCGTGTCCACCTTGCTGTAAATAAATTGTATTACTATGACAGGGTATGGGACATGCAGGGGAGTGGATGTACAGGGAAGGGATTTTTTTCTGTACATCTCTGTTCTAAAGTAGGAAAAACATTTGATACCATTTAATTTCTTGAATATATCTATGGGTAAAAACCATTCTGCCTATAAGTGATCAGCTGTTTGCTCGTTTGCGCTTTTTTTTTTGGATAGTCATCGGAATAAAAATATATATCAAATTTTAATCAATCTAAACAGAAATTGGGTGTACTTTTAATTCCTAGATTCGACTTAAACAGACAAAGATAGAGCTTCGGTGGCTCTAGGGTAACGCACTTGACTTATAACCTGGAGGTTCTGGTTCGAATCCCGCCATATACCAATGTAGTTTTAGATTTACATATATACCTTTATCTGACATTCTTACGGTGAAGGAAAACATCGTGATGCTGCACATATTTGAGAAGAAAAAAATATGTGTGAAGTCAAACCCGCTCTAGACCAGCATGGTTGACTATGACCTAGTCACCCCTAACTTAGGACAGACTCCGAGCCCCTCAGTTAAATAAAACAGTTTAAAGAAATAGTTTTCAACTTACGTGATATAAGTATTATTGCTACCACTGGATACATCATGTCCGTAGTTCAAACTCGCTCTTCTTCTCACAGGACTGGGTATTTCTATCTCTCTTCTCTCTCGTTCTCTCTCTTCTTCTCTCGCTCTCTCCTTCTCCTCTCTCTCGCGACGTTCACGCTCCGCTTTCTCTTTAGCCTCTTGTTTTAATTTTGCTTGCTGTAAATAATTGCATTATTATTTCATTGTTGTTATAGAATTTTATATACAGCGTGTCCTAAAACGTGAGAAAAAATATCGATTTTCTTTTAAAATTTGAACATTAGACATATTCCAATATAAATTGTTTTTTTTTTATAATAGGCAAAAGTACCACATGCATATAAGTACAATTTCCACTAGCGCCTCCAACTGTATTCGCTTAGTGGAAAAGGGGATTGAATGTTTTTAAACTACCTGGTCCAAATACTCTCTATACTGCTGTTGACGTATCCTCCGCAATGTATTCCGTCTGCGTTCATATTCACCAAGGCCGAGCATCACATCGCCCGCGCCCGCCCGCTCGCCGCGCACCAGCGGGTTGTTGGGGGAGTACTCGCCTGCCTTCAACATCACTGGAAGCCCCGTACAACGCTACGAGATATTTAACATGTGATAAAATGGAAACAATAGTATTTACAAATAGGTTACTCTATAAATAACTTAAATGTTAAAGTTACAAACAGATTATAAATATCATTCATAATGCACGCAATGTTTACAATTTCTATATGACTTCCGTGTTGAGGTCAGTGACCTGAGTTGTAACATGGAAATCCATACATTGTTCAGATTTACTCAATGTACACGCGAAGTAATGCCTCAATCAATTTTAAAACTGAAACTTTAAATGGCTACTAGAGTTAACAAGTATCTAGAATTCATCTTACTAATATTATAAATGCGAATGGATGGATGTTTGTTTAAAAGTATCTCCAGAACGGCTGCATGTATCTTGCTAAAATTTAGCATAGATGTGGAACATAGTCTGGAAGGAGACATGGGCTACTCATTTTTTTTTATTCCGCGCACACACAGTCGCGGGCGACAGCTAGTTAATATAAAAAAAAACATCTTTTTCCAACAGCTTATTTAGAAAAGAATTCCAAGATAAAGTAAATTCGGCAGAGGATCCATTTCCTAAAATATTTTTTTTTTCCTCCCATAGAGATTAATCTTAAAATCTCTTTTTGTGATTACATGCCTATTTATGTTACAGTAAGATAACTAAGATGTAGCAAAAGGGTTATAAGAGAGTAAATTCAATGCGGACAAAGTCGCGGGCAACTGCTAGTTGCTGTATAAATGAATAAGTCATGAACAGTTTGTGTTTAACATTATCGGGTCGCTCTATCGTATTTATAACTCTATGCAATATTCCGATTGCAAGAGTAATTACGTTAACAAATAGAGCAAATGAATGCTATTTTTACGCCTGCAATTCTCTATAAGGCAACGTTTAAAATTTACAAGAATTTACAAATTAGTTAATGCATTCAGAGTTAAAAGGTCAGCGAGGGATAAGGGACCCTTAGTGTAGATGTAGAGTCACCGTGGATTTCAGAGACCAAAATCTCCGTTTAAAACATATTGTTATCTCTGTTTTATCGAAGATAATGACAGGGAATGGTATACAGAGATTTTGGTCTCGAAAACCCACGATTAATATGACCGTGAAGAGACTGCCGCAATGAGTAAATCTTGACTAAAAATTAATCAATAAATTGAGGACATAATATTAAAAGTATTAATTTCAATGTAGATTCATTGTTAAAAAATATACAAAATTTTCAGTAATTAAAAGTTACTCAAGGTCGTTTCGGTCACTAAGGAAAATCCTTAGTTTATATTAAAGATACAAAATCTACACTAAGGCCTAGTATGAGTACGGTAGTTGGCGCATATTAGTGCTCCCTCGTACGGTTCTAGACTCCTGGTCCAAACTATTTAAGTCGTATTGATTTGTGCATTTCGCGACATGCGCAGCGCATATTGCAGTATTTTCATCTCTACCACTTCCTAGATATTTAGTTAAACTTGAATCATACTAAAATACATTTACGGTTAAAACTTCAATAGCAAAAAATCGGATTAAACGGGCTGAGTTATCGACGAAAAATAAAATAAAAAAACATACAGACGAATTGAGAACCTCCTCCTATTTGAAATCGGTTATAAAAAAAAGTGATATTGACTTTGTCTTCTATCAACACTAAGAAAAAACAAAAGGGAGACCCTTAAAGTAGATTCTCGTTAAGTTTACACTAAAGGGCACCCTAAGTGACGGATAAAGAATCTCGACAAAGTAAAAAAAATATATAAAAACCGTAAAATAAATAGGAATGAGAATCAAAGTAATAAGTAGTATAAGACGAAATGTAGTTTTAATAGCGAATTTAAACTCATAGCCGTATACTTCGTAGGCTGTATTTTAAACAATTGTGCTATTGTGGGGTTTAAGAATGTGAAAGTGGTATACGAATAGTAACAATTTTTAATTTAATTTTCGAATAATTTCGATATCAGATTATATTGTCATTTTACTTATTAAACTCCGATTAGAATAACTTCGATTATATCTCAGTCACGTCGTCTTATTAACTCTACGAGATTTAACAATATGAATATACATCCAGTAAGTTTCCACTGTCGATAAACATGTACAAAACATATTGTTATTATTTAACACTAAATAATTAAGAAATAATTAAAATTAAAAAACATAAATTTTCTTGAATACAATTTCAATTAAAAATGTATACAAACTTTTACTCGTCTTCGTTGACGCAGAAAATAAAATATGCGCTATTCTAGACAGTAACCTATGTCTGTGCCAAATTTAATAAAAATCCGCTATAGAAGTTTTCTAGTTGCATGCTAACAAACTTCAATCCATTTGTCAAAACTTTAAATGGATGGATGGATGTTTTCCTTTGGATTCTAAGCTCTAAACTTTAGTATTTATAACATGCCAAATAAGGCATATATTTTGCAACATTTATACTTGGCTAAAGTTCATAAAACATTATGCCAAAAGAACGTCATTTTAAGTTGAAGTATTCGCTTAACATAGCTCAAGTTATCGTGCAAGTTGTTTTTAATTGCACACTTAAGCAGACCAAGTGATTTTACGTCAGATATAATTCGAAATGCAGAAAAAATGCATTTTATTCAGTTTGCATTTCAGTATTTAATTTTACTAATATTATAAATGCGAATGTTTAGATGGATGGATGTTTGTTTGCAGATGTCTCCAGAACGGATGCATGGAAATTTCTGAAATTTGACATAGACGTAGAACATAGTTGGAAGAACACACAGACTGCTAAATATATGTTTTTAAATCGCGCGCACGGAATCGTTTGTAACAGCTGGTTTTACGTTACCTATCTTATAGAAACTTATAGGAATAAAAAAAACTTATAGAAACTCCAGTATGCCATCCAACCATCCAATTTTTTTAAATAAAAAAATCACTTTATATTCTACACAAATTTTAACCGTTTTCAAAAGCATAAAAAATCCTTTATCGCACAAGAACATTACGCCCGTAACTGAGAGGGGTTGGCAGAGAAATCCTTTATTGAAGTAAAATCAATCAAGTCCTCAAATTTCGAAAAGAATAGTCAATTTTGTAATTATTAGAAAAATATAAAAACTTACACGTCAAAAACCCTTGAATAATCACAATTTATTTGTTACAGTAACTAATATCAGATTGTTTTTCAACAAACAACTGCTAGCTACACGAATCGGGCTAGACTACTTGAATACAGACGACCGCTCCCTAAGGGTGTGTTCATACTAGGTGACCTAATATCGAAATAAATCGTTAATTTAATTATCTTATAGCTAATGCGTAATTTAATTAAAAATTTAATTAATAGGCTATATTAAAAAAGTAACAGATTTGTTGGTATTTTTCCTAATAACAATAACTTAAAAAAAAACTTTTGATAATCCGGTGAGTATTCACCTTATGTGTGTTACACCTTAGTGGACCTATCAACAATATCGACAAGCACCTTTGAATCGTCATCGTCAATTGTGTCAAAAGTTTGTTGAAAGCGGAATCCGCGCGGAATTAAAAAAAAGTTATTAGTAGCCTATGTGTTCTTTCAGATTATGTTCTATATCTGTACCAATTTTCAGCGAGAACCATGCAACCTTTCTGGAGATATCTTCAAACAAACATCCATCTATCCATCTAACTAAACATTCGCATTTACAATATTAGTAAGAAGTAAGATAAGTACGAGATTTTTTGGTGTACTTTACGACCGATATTGCACAAATTTTATCGATAACGATACGATGGCGCTTGTCATAAATTTTCGTGTTACGCCCTCTGTCTATAAAATTCTTTTACTTTGTACAAACCAGTAGGGTGAAGTAAGACAATAAATTGTCTGTCTATACAAACAAACCAGGGAGTCTTGTTAGTATAGTATATAATATATTTTTAATACGAATATTACGTCAGATCAGGGAGCGGCAGACAGGGGCGCGCCGGGGTAGGACAAGCGGCGCGGGGGAGGGGAAATGCGTCTCATTACACAAATGGTCTGCGGTCTTGTCAAAATTATTGCCTACTAGCGGTTGCCTGCGACGCCGTCCGCAGGATATAAAAAAAAATAAGTGAGCTATGTGTTCTTCCAGATTATGTTCTATATGTATACCAAATTTCTTCAAGATCCGTTCAGTTGTTCAGGAGA